AAAAAAAAAAAAAAAAAAAAAAAAAAAAAGTTTGCACTATATCTAGAAATGTATTGTCCTTAATTATCATACCAACTTAATTTATCTTAACAACTTATTTGAAAAATATTTGTTAATCAATTTATATAATATAAGAAAATTTCAAAAACTTGAGGATCTATTAAAAAGTCAATTTCTTTATTTATCTCACAACTTACTTAACAAACCACACGTTTTTCCAATAACAAAATTCTACTCCTCGATCGCTACGAAATTGTCAATCAATTTTAAAGCTTTAATAATATATTCGTAGATCACTATGGATTTTAAAAATTATTTTTAATAAGAATTCTATTTGTTTTTAATGCCACATTATTTTTTTCGAATAATACTAAATTAATTGATTGCTATTAAATTAATTCTATTTGATTTTCATGCTTAAAATTTAAGAAAATACTATTTTTAGTTAGTTTTTTTTTTTTTAAACGGCGGTTGGAATTTAAAAAAAAAATGTTATTTTGAGAAAGATATTGTAACACCCCACTTTGATTTTAAAAAAATTCCGGACTTTCCAAAAATCAGTAAACAATTTTTCAAACTTATTTTGAAAAAAAAACATGGGCATTATTCGAACATTTAACATCAACCAAGTCATATCTGGTTGCTCGAGAATTCATTAACCGATTTTTCACATAGTTTCCGCAGTGTATCCGCAGTGTATTGTAGTTGATCTTGTTAGTTGTATTGCTAAATTGTATATATTTGATAATATTTCATAAGTTTTATTTGATGAAGTTGATAGATATTTTTTTTTTAAGATAATATTTAATAAATCAGAATAATAACGGGTTTGAGAAGATATAACATGATAAATTTTAATGAGTCTGCAAAAGCTTAATAGGGTTTTATTCAATTAGAATTTCTAATTGATAATGGGTATTAAAAAATAAAGTTTTGTTATTTTTTTTTTTTCGAAACGATAGAGATTTCTATAAATAAAACAACCCCTAGCTGAGAACGCAGCCAACAGCTGAAAAACAGAGAGGACAGATCTGGAAATCGCCTAAAAATCGACGCTAGCAAAGCTAGAAACTACTCGGCAACACACAAAACACACTACTGGAAACGCTCCCAAAAGGAGAATAAAGAACGGCCCCCACAGGGCAATACCCGCTCACACTCGAGCAGTACAGAGGCCAACGGCCCAAACAACAAACACAAGACCTACCAAACGACACAACAACCAAACAAAAATAAAGAAATGTAAAACTAAAACAAGACAATCCTTCCTCAGCAGCTTGAGCGAGCTAAACCCAGTGGACAAAAGACGACTCAAGAGAAGATCCGCAACCTGAGAAACCTCCCCCGAAACTGCCTAAACGCCTATCTGAGGTCGAAGCTCAAGCCCCGAAACCAAACCCATGTTAGTGTTATATACTAAAAGCTTGGTTTTGGATGATTTTACACTTTTACCCTTTATGAATGAGAAACATGTTAGATTAAACAAGTTCTACGTTCTGTTGTTTTGCATTAGATAGTGTGGGTCGTCATCGGGCGAACCGAAGATCATACTATCAGTTACTCGCGAAACAAGAATAAGTGGTTCACAACCCAGATAGACATGAACACATCATCATGAACGATTGTAGTGTCAACTGTACAGTTTGTCCTGACTGATTAGTTGCACTAGTACATTTTATGTATTGAACAGGATCCCAGAGAGGAGCAGTTCGTTTTATACTGATCGTCGTAAACGAACTAAGCCTCGGTTAATTACTGCATGCTCTTAACTCATAAGATATTGAACAGGCATATATATGTAGTACTTATTACTTTGATTCACATGGGTGAGGCTTAATGAACTGGGCCAATAGACCCGCTGTCTTGGGTAATATTGCTGCATGTAGGATGTGCTGTTAGGATATTTAAGATCACCATGTGCGTTAGTTTGATAATGTCCCCGGAGTGAGTTCATGAAGGATTATTATGCTAAACTCTGCAGGTGGATTAAATTTCGGCATAGTAATAATGTGATGAACGAGCGGTAGCTTCGGTGAAATAATAATAAATTAATTAATTCTTGATTGTCAGTAATCAAATTAATTAATGAACATTATATCTTAAGCATGGGGAGATAAATCGGGTAATTATTATTGGAGTCTCAATTGTAAATTGGGCTAGGAAAAGGGAGTGCAATAATATTATGTTGGTGGCCCATTTAATATTATTTAATTAATTAAAATAAGTGGCTTGGTCAACAAGAATTTTAATTAATTTAGAAGCTTTTTCATAATCTTCTAAGGGTCCCTACTGTAGCTCTATATATACATCATTAAGCTCATGAGAAGAGAATTCCAAAACTCGTGAAACACGCCCCACGCCATCTTCCTCTCAGTTCCCATTCGAGTTTTATCTTCTTCTTGTTGTTCC